AAAGCCACTATGGGCAGCCATCGTGTGGGAGCGGAAATCTCTCATGGTAGTGGCTGAGTACGAACAAGGGAACCAGGGGACAGGGACAAGACAGATGCAAGGGTGAGAAGGAGAAAGCAGCAGGAGTATAAGAACAGAAGCAGGTAACACAGGAGGGGTTTCTCCGACAGGCACGGGAAAATGGGGAAGGATGGGAGAGGGCGAGGCTGCAGCAGCGGTAGTGGTAGAGAATGGCAGAAAATGGCACGGAACGGCATGGGAGGCACAGCGTGGTTTTTTGGGAGCTGTGAGAACCGGGGCTGTGAGGGCAACCTGAGAGGAGCGCGTCGAGTGCACAGCGCGGCATGGTCAATGGGAGATGTGAGCCCGGGGGCACCTGAGAGGAGCGCGTCGAGTGCACAGCGCGGCATGGTCAATGGGAGATGTGAGACCGGGGGCACCTGAGAGGAGCGCGTCGAGTGCACAGCGCGGCATGGTCAATGGGAGATGTGAGACCGGGGGCACCTGAGAGGAGCGCGTCGAGTGCACAGCGCGGCATGGTCAATGGGAGATGTGAGACCGGGGGCACCTGAGAGGAGCGCGTCGAGTGCACAGCGCGGCATGGTCAATGGGAGATGTGAGACTGGGGGCACCTGAGAGGAGCGCGTCGAGTGCACAGCGCGGCATGGTCAATGGGAGATGTGAGACCGGGGGCACCTGAGAGGAGCGCGTCGAGTGCACAGCGCGGCATGGTCAATGGGAGATGTGAGACTGGGGGCACCTGAGAGGAGCGCGTCGAGTGCACAGCGCGGCATGGTCAATGGGAGATGTGAGACCGGGGGCACCTGAGAGGAGCGCGTCGAGTGCACAGCGCGGCATGGTCAATGGGAGATGTGAGACCGGGGGCACCTGAGAGGAGCGCGTCGAGTGCACGGCGCGGCGTGGTCAATGGGAGATGTGAGACCGGGGGCACCTGAGAGGAGCACAGATGAGTCGACTGTGGCAAACGTCGCACTGCCTGCCGCCCCCGCTGCCGCCCTCACCTCCTCACACACCGCCTCGCCCCTCCCCCTGCCTCAACCCCGTTGCGACATAGATGCGCCCGCGCATGCACGCGCGCATGAAAGGGTGGTGGGCGGGTGCGCGGGGTTGGGTGGGGGGGTGGGGAACGACGAGAGCGGAGGGAAGAAGGAATGAGTGGAGAGAGAGCCGTCCGATCTGAACTAGAGTAGCTAGAAACTCCCCCAGCTTTCATCTTTCCCCCCCATTTCTTGACTTACACCCACCATACCACTCACCAGGCGGGCTTAGCTCGTTGCAACACCACGTGCCGTTCGAATTTTGAAATTTCCCCCTCAAACTGGTAAGTGCGGGTGAGAGAGGGGTAGGTGAGAGAGGGGTAGGTGAGAGAGAGGGGGGAAGATGACAGAGAGGGAGGTGAGTATAAGGTAGGTGAGGGGGGAAGTAGTTGCATTGGCGCGAGGTGAGAGGAGGGCAGGTGATAGGGGTGGGCAGGTGAACGGGAAGTAATCGAGAGAGAAGCCAAAAGAAATTGCTGCCACTCACTGCAGCGATTGCAGCGATTGCTTGCTCCAAGGCCACTTGCTGTTCCATTCCTGAAACTCTCGCCTGCAGCTTACTCCATTTACCTCCTGCACGAGCTCGCGTTTCTCACGGTCAACCCGCTCCACCTTCTCGTCCAAACTCTTCACCCTCTTATTTCCTTCTTCTAGCTTCTGTTCCGCTTCAACACGCCTTGTAACTTCCTCATTCAGATTCCTCTCCAGAGCTTCCACCCACTCTCTTGCCGCTGTTGCCTCATTCTGCAGATTTCGCAGATTCACTTCATTCGTCTCCATCGCCACTCAAGCAGCAACCTGCAGGATACATGAAAGGGAGAAACAAGCAGAGAAGGGCGTAGATAAGGGCGTAGAGTTTCCACTGCTGCTTTGTCAGGCCACGTTCAACCAGCGCTGAGAGGAGAGGTGGGAGGAAGAGCATAAGGCGTTGTGTTTCCAAAAAACACCTATCCCACATAATACCTACCGGGCAGCAGGTGTGGGTGTGCCAGACTAATTGCTTCATGTGCCTCCTGTGCGTTCCTCGCCTTGGATGCAAACACACGGGGTGGTGACGTGTATCAAAGAAATCCTTCCTTCCCCACATAGTACATACTACTGCGTACCGGGCAGACGATTGAAGTGTTGACAGTGAATGATGTAACAAGCAGAGAAGCCGCGTAGCGAGGAGCTTCAGTGAGGGAGCGAGTGAAGGAGTTAGTTGTGGGGGAGGGGGGAGAGAGTTGGGCGGATGAGAGAAAGGGAGGGGAGACAATTGTAATATACAGCATTTACACCTTGATCAAGAGTAATCCAGATGTAACAAGCAGCGAAGCCGCGAGGGCAGCGTCGTAGTGAGGAGCTTCCGTTACAGACCCAATAGCCTATCATAAGTCACAGCCCCACAACACCACTTCCCTTAAATCATGAATTTACAGCCCCCCACCAACCTACCTGGAGTTGCAGCTTGTAGTGAGCACAGAGCAGCAGCGAGTGCAGAGGCGTAGTGAGGAGGTTCTGTGAGAGAATATGGATTAGCTTGTTGGAAGGGGGGGAGAGAGAGTTGGGCGGATGGGTGGAGCAGCAGATATATGAGAGAAGACACACACACACACACACACACACATACACACACACACACACACACACGCACGCACGCACACACACACAAACAAACACACACACACACACACACATACACACACATACACACACACACATACACACACACACACATACACACACACACACATACACACACACACATACACACACACACACACACATACACACACACACACATACACACACACATACACACACACATGCATACACACACATGTACAACGCACGCACATGCATACACATGCGCACACACACATACAACGCACACGCACACACACACAAACACACGCACACACGTGTGGAGACATCGGGGTAGGGAGACATGCGGACAGGGGGGCATGCGGACAGGGGGACATGGGGACTGGGGGACATGGGGACAAGGGGACACGGGGACAGGGGGGCACGGGGGCATGGGGACATGGGGACATGGAAACGTTGGGACAAGGGGACATGCAGATGGAGGCATGGGGACAATGGGGCACGGGGACATGGGGACAGGGGAACATGCGGACAGGGGGAAATGGCGACAGGGGGACATGGGGAGAGGGGGGCATGGGGTCAAGGGGACAGGGGGAAATGGGGACAGGGAGACATTCACTCACTCGGTCACTCCTTTACTCTCAAACTGATGCACTCAAACATTCACAAACTCTCAAACTCTTACTCACACATTCAATCTTTTACTCACGCTCAGTCACTCATTCACTCACTCCATTGCTCACACTCACAATCACTCACTCTAACAACAACACAGAAAGCAGGGCCGCCGCCGGTGCTGGGTGTGAGGGGGAGGCGACGTGAGGGCAGGCGGCGTGCGGAACAGGGAATGTGAGTGAGTTTGAGTGAGCGAAGTATTAGTGAATGTCTGCAAGTGTGTGCGTGTGCGAGTGTATGAGTGATGCGAGTGGGTGCGAGTGATCGAGTATACGCAAGCATGTCGGTGTGAGTGCAGCGAGTGCGAGTGAGTGCAAGTGAGTGCAAGTGAGTGCAAGTGTGTACTTAGTGTGTGCAGTTGAGTGAGTGTGTACCTTTGGCTGGCTTGGGCGGCTTCGTACCTTTCTGTGCCAACCGTGTTCCCCCTGCTGCCGATCCACTAGCCCCAGCTGCCGATCCACTGGCCCCGCTGGCAGGAGTGTTAGAGGTGGACGCTGGAGGGGAGCAGAAGAGCAGGGCAGGGGCAGGGTAGGGTAGGACAGGGCCGGCGTGTAGACGGACAGGGAGGGGGAGGAGATGAGGAACACGCAAGAGAATGCGAGCGCACCATACTAAGGAGACGGGGGATGGGGAACTTGGGGTTCAGTGGATGGGACTTACGAGGGGAAAATGGTTGACGTGAATGTCTAACTGTTGAACTGTAGATAGGTGTAACTGTACAGTTTTGCATTCAAACCGAAGCACACCGGTTGCTTTGCCAGCTAACGATCGGATCCGCGATGGAGACATCAGCAGAGGCAAAAATTACTCACTCGTTACTGCCCCTGCAAAAAGTTTTCAATTCCTCGCGGATTGCGCGCCTTTCTTGCCTTTCTTTCCCATGCTAGCTGTGAACTTTTGCCGCGATAGGAGCAGGCCAGCGGTTGAGGCATGTGGGGCAGAGGAGACGGCGGAGCGCAGGCGAGGCGAGGTCGATGAGGCGTGCGGCTGGCAGGGCCCCACTCTACGCGCACTCCGCCTCCCTAGTGCTCCTTCAACCTCCTCCACTTCGCCTTCCCGCGAGCTCTTTCCTCGCCGCCTTCCCGCCCCTCGCCATGCACTGCGCCGTCCCCCCGCCACCGCTCTGCTAAGCCCGACCCCCCGCGCTCTCCCCGTGCGGAATGCCAGCGAAGCCCACTCTCTCGCCTTGGCCCGCCTTTCCGTCACCCGCCCTCAAGAAGCACGCCCGTCGCCCGCTCTCGTGGCTCGCTGGTTGCAACTCCCTGCGCGCCGCTTCCCGCATACGGCCGTGCCTATCCGCGCGACACCCTCTGGCTCCGCGCGCGCCCTTCGCCACGAGCTGCGGTCCTCCCTACTCCGCGCGCTCATGCGTGGTGAGCGCCGACGGGGGGAGTGCAGGTAATGCGCAAGAGGGGGGGGCGGCCACGTGGGGAAGAGCGAGGTGGCGGAGGTGGGAGGGGCGGGCGGCGCAGAGTGGTGGGGGGCTAGAAAGGCTGTGGATGAGGGGGCGGCTGGTGGGTGCTTACACGGCGTACGGGCAGGCGAGAAGCACATAAGCAATGACGGCACCTGGGGCAGGGGGGGGGCAGCAACGAGGCGCAGAGGCGAGGGCAAGGGCAAGAGCAAGTGGAGCTGGCTTGGGAGCAGCAGGTGGGCGCAACGAGGGAGGGGGAGGCGGGGGGGATGGAGGAGGCATCGGCAGCCGCAACGCCAACGTTGCATGTGGAGGTGCAGCAGGCAGGCGCAGCAAAGGGAGCGTGGCAGGCGGGTGGTGGTGGCAATGCCGACAGTGCACCCGGCCCCTCTCCCTCACAGGCGGAGGTGTATGGCGCTGTGCAAGAAGGTGTGCGTAGGTGGGAGGGGGCGATGGCAGCGTGGGCAGCAGCAGGAGTGGACGCAAAGAAGAGGCTGGCTGCTCAAGTGGCGCGTAGGCATGCCCAAGGAGGCCCATTCACGCCCCTGCACGGCGGGGAGAGCGGTGCTCCTGATGGGCGTGCAGGCGTGGCAGCGATGCGTGGGGCGGGAGAAGGGCAGAGAAGTGCAGTGATGGCAGCAGCACAAGCAGGAGGCACAGCAATTGGCGCAGGGTGAGTGGCAGCAGTGCTGCCCCCCAAGCATCCACCAGGCAAGGCATGGCTCCAGTGCTTCCTCGCACGCCCCCCATGCACCTCATGGCCGCAACCCACGCAGCACAGGCTCCATTGGCACAGGTCCCATCAGCAGAGGCAGCACGCAGCAGTGGAGCCACTGGTGGAGCTGGTGGATCTGGTGGAGCTGGTGAGCAGATGGTCTTCAAACTCGATGTCTCCACGGAAGAGTGTGGAGCAACGGCTGAAGAGGGCGAAAGTGTGGAGAGCGCAAGAGCAGCAGTGTTGGTGGGGCGGGGCGAGGGCGAGGGGCTGAGCGAGGAGGAGAGGGCGACCTTGCAGCTTCACATGCTGGCGGGGCAGTTGGCAGTGGTGGGCGTGGTGGGGAGTGTCAAGGCCGGGCAGCAGCTGCGCGTGATGGGGCGGTGGGTGAGCGACAAGTATCGCCAGCAGCTCAAAGCAAGAGAGGCGCACGCTGTACTGCCCCAGGAGACAGACGACATTGACAGGCACACAACGCTGGCCTCTGCCGGTGATGGAGGAGGTGAGATGCACCAAGGGGGGGGGGGGGGGAAGTGGTCGTGGTGGGGAGGGGAGAAGGTGGGGAGGGGAGGGCGCAGTGGGGAGGGGAGGGCGCAGTGGGGAGAGGAGCACTTTGGAGGTGCCTCAGAAGGCGTGCAACGGACGGGATGCGAGGGGAAGAGCGGGTGGGCATTGCTGTGCCAGTCGTCTCCCGCACCGTCGTCAGCAGCATCAACTTGAGGCTTACCCTATATTTCACCTGTGGCTCAATGTCGCAATCTTTCCTTCATCTTACCCGGAGTAACCTGAGGGCACGACCCCCCTCCCTTTTCCTTCTCCCTCTGCCTCTTCTCCCTCTCCCCTTCCATGCCCTTCCCTCGCATAGCCCCTTTCCCCTTTCCCCAGCTGCGGGTGCCAGCAGTGTTGCCGATGTTACCACACGCCCTCCCTGCCAACGGTTCGCTCTGCAGCATTGCTGAGGTTTGCGCAAGGCTCGACAGGCAGGTGGGTGGGGTAGGGGTGGGAGGCAAATGGGATGGGGGTGAGTGTGGGAGGGCGGTTGGGGCAGCTTACTTACTGATGCTTGTGAAAGGTACTGCAATGGTGCCACCACTCCTCCTCGCTCCCACTGTGCCATGCCACTCTTTGCATGCTTCATGCAGCCCTTCCCTACCTCCCCCCGCCCACACTATCTGGTGAACTTCAGTTGCTATCATATGCCAGCTGATCTCACCCCATATTTCTAGTCCGAAACTCTTTACTCTCTCTTTCACCCTCAATCCCCCTCCCTTCTTCCCCCACCTCCCCCATATTGGAATCCCTTCATTTACATCCCCTCATTTCACTACCATCCCCCCCTCTTCGTACTACTCAAAATGCCTCACCATTTATTCCTCCCCAAGTGCTCTGCAACGCCCCCTTCTTTCTCTTGCCCTTTAACAAACTCCCCTACAAAACTCCCACCCCCTTCACCAATTGCACTTTTTCAACTGCTCCACAATTCTGCCCTCCTTCCCATGCACTCTGCTTTTTTTGCGAACCCATGTGCGTATGAGCATGTGTGCACATGTGCGTATGACATGTGTGCCCATGTGCGTATGAGCATGTGTGCCCATGTGCGTATGAGCATGTGTGCCCATGTGCGTATGAGCATGTGTGCCCATGTGCTTATCAGCATGTGTGCCCATGTGTGTGGGAGCCCTTACCGCGCTCTTCCCTCTCGCTCACAGGTCACCTCGCAAGGTTGATTGCTACTTGTGCCCGTGCCCCCTACTGTGCGTGTGCCCCCACGTGTCCCGGGAGCAGGTGAGCAAGGCGACCAAGGGCGGGGAGGCCCCATCGCCGCCATCCAACGCTTCGATGCCCCCGCCAGGTCAGTGCCCCCGCCGTCCACCCTCCACGCTCCTGCTGCTGCCCCGCTCACTCATTACTTCACTCAGCTAATACTGCTGCATACGGTTGGGACCCACCATTCCTCCTCTTCACCACCATTCCTCCTCTTCACCACCATTCCTCCTCTTCACCATCTTCACCTGTATGTGCCATATCACCTTTCTCATTGTTTCCCCTTCCTTCTCCTCATCATTGGGAGACGACGAAGAGGAAAATGAGCGCGAGGTGAGTTCGCATGCTGGGAATGATGACATCATAACTTCTTCGACATTCGTCCAATGCGCCAAGTGTAGAGCCGCCTTCTTGCTGGCATGTGCCAGTTCCCACCCATCTGTGCCATGTCAACATGTCATTTCCTTTCTCACCCCTTCTCATTCCTTCTCCTCATCCCACCTTACCCTTACCCTCCCCCCCCCCCACCAAAACCACCCCCCACCAGCGCATGCCCCCGGCATCCTCCCTCAAGGCGCTGGCAGCAGCGGTGTATGCCCTTGCGCCCGACTCCTTCGTGTGCCCCATCACTGCCGACTCACTCGAAGTCTTTGCTCACACCATCCTGCTGCAGCCCAAGGTGGCGTGGGGCTGGGCTAGAGTGCGTGCGGCCAAGGTGTGGATGGCGGCGGGCTGGGCTGGGCGGGTGGGGTGGTGGCAACCCTAACTGGGTTGTACCCCCTATGGGATACCCCACTATAGCCTACACAAATAAGTAAGCTATAATGTTCTGACACACCCCCATAGGCAAAGTGGGGGAGAACAAGGGGTCACAAGACCAGTCAAGCAAAGCAAAGCAAAGCTCAGGGTGGATCACAAAGTCACCACGCATTCCGAGCACAAGTTCAAAGGCCAGAAGGCCAGTTCACATGCAAGATCATATATAGAGATTTACAAGAGTCAAGCAAGCAAGAGCAAGAGTATATATAGGTGAAGGTACAAGCAAGGTCAAGAAGTGAGCAAGTGAGGCAAGACAGGCACAAGACCCAACTGCGTACAACAACGCTGATGATCACAAGGCGCAAGTGCCTTGGTGAAGACATCAGCAGTGTTGGCCTCAGAGGCCACGTACGCAAGTCGCAACTGTCCACGCTGCTGTAGCTCACGAGCAAGAAAGTAGCGGAGAGCAATGTGCTTCGTCCTGTGCTCCAGTCGCTGCTCTCGACACAAGGCCAGCATGGCCTTGTTGTCTACGTAGCGGACTGGAGGAGAACGAGGCTGCTCTCCAAGGTCGGTCAGCAGGTAGGTGAGCCAGCGTAACTCCTGTGCAGCCATAGCCCCAGCGTAGATCTCAGCCTCACAACTGGAGCCGAGAACAGAAGACGAGCGGGTAGCCCGCCACGAAACAGAGCCGGAACCAAGGCTGAAGGTGTAACCCTGTGACGACCGCTGCGTAGCCTGGTCGTCAGCCCAAGAGGCGTCTGCGTGCCCAGTGAGGACCACTGGACTGCGCCCTCCAAGCACTAGCCCCATGCCCAACGTACTGCACAAGTAGCGCAACACCCTCTTCGCTGCAGCCATGTGCTCTGGTCGGTGTCTCCCAGGAGCAACATAGCGTGCGAGAATGCTAAGAGGGTATGCAAGGTCAGGTCGTGTGCAGGTCATCAGGTACATGAGGCAGCCAACAAGCTCTGCAAACGGGCCACTCGACTCTACGGACTCATCCGAAGGCAGAGCTGAGAGCGAGTGGCGAGTAGGCAGAGGAGTGGCCTGAGGCGAGGAGTACGTGAAGCCGAAGCGCTGAAGGACCTGCTGCACCATGTGTGGCTGAGTCAGGGTAATGGTGCGGCGTGCTCTGTCCCGGGTGATCTGCAAGCCAAGGTAGCTATGCAGTTCACCCAGGTCAGTGCACGTGTGTCTCTTCTGCAGTTCGGACTTCACGTAGGCGAGTCCAGCAGTGTCAGCTGTGGCAAAGACCAAGTCGTCGACGTACACGAGGATGTAGAACGGCGGCAGGGAGGTGTCGGTGCGCAGAAACAGCGACGGGTCGGCAATAGAAGGAGCAAACCCAAGTGCCGCGAGCGTAGTCCTCAGTGTGTCGTGCCACTCACGTGGCGCCTGGCGGAGACCGTAGACTGGACGCCGGAGACTCCACTGGGTACCAGGAGGGAAAGACCCAGTGAAGCCAGGTGGGCGACGCAGCCAGATCTCCTCGTTCAGGCTGCCCTGCAAGAAAGCTGAGCTGAAGTCGAGAGAGTGCAGCTCGTAGTCACGGTGAGCAGCAACGTGAAGCAGAACCCGAAGAGTGGTCATCTTCGGGGTGGGGGAGAAAAGTAGTCAACTCCCTGCCGCTGACTGAAGCCACGAGCCACGTAACGCGCCTTGAAGACAGGCGGAGAACCCGGCGGCCGCTTCACCCTGAAAATCCACATGCCACTGACGATGTTCGCCCCAGGAGGGGGGACAACGTCGACGTAGGTGCCTGTGGACTTCCAGGAAGCCATCTCTGCATCCATAGCTGCCTGCCACTGAGAGGAGTAGGGACCCTCTATCGCCTCCGCGTAAGAGCGCGGAGTCGGGATGTCTGGTGCATCCGGGTCTCCCTCAGGGGCTAGCAGTACAGACGCGAGATGAGGTGAAGCGGCGGCCAGACACTGGAACTCCTCCTGCCTGTCCTCAAGGACGTCCGTGCCAAGGGCACACTCACCCCCGACGGACGGAGGACAGGCAGACTCAGACTCAACGACAAGACTGGCAGCGTAGTCTAGACGACAGCAAGCAGCAAAGTCGACAAGCTCAGTGACAAGGGCAGACGCCGCAGACGACTCGAAGGAAGGGTCAGTGACAGCAGTAGCAAGGAGACGCGTGACAGTAGGACTGGCAGCACGAAGAGAGTCCGACTCGGGGTCGGCAAGAGTAGGAAGAGATGAAGCAGGAGGAGAAGGCAAAGGGGCACGCAGAGGAGCAGTGGACGGACGCAGTGACATCCGGTGCGTGCCAGGGACAGGAGGAGGACGCTGACGCGACCCGCGACCACTAGCGCGCTCAGTACGAACAGGCGACGCAGGACGAGACGCAGGCTCACAACGCTCAGTAAGACCTCAAGTCGGACCAGCGTAGGGAGAAGGAGCAGGCAAAGGGGAGGCAGGCTGTAGCTGTGGCTGTGACTGGACAGGCTGTGGACCCTCTAAGGGAGGAGGAGGTGTAAGACCAAGAACCTGCTGCAGGAGCGGAACGAAGTACGCTCGGGGCCGCGCGGCGACGCCAGAAACAGCAGGAACAGCACCAGTACCCCCAGCAGAAGCACCCACTCCAGCAGCACCTCCAGCAGCACCTCCAGTAGCTCCAGAACCTCCAGCAGCAGTACCAGGAGCACGGACAGTCGGACCGCCAGCGGCAGTCTCAGCGCCAACACCCTCAGCAGCACCAGCTCCAGGAGAACCCTCAGACCCAGCAGCTCCAGCACCCACAGAACGAGCACCGCCGGGACGCGCGGCAGCAGTACCCTCTGCAGCCGAAGAACCTCCAGCACCAGCAGCACGCCCCCAGCGCATGGCAAACCACTCACGCAGCTCCTGTGGGGAGAGTGGCTCCCGGCGAGACGAAGCACCTCCAGGCAGAGCACCCCCAGGCACAGCACCCCCAGGCTCAGCACCCCCAGGCTCAGCACCCCCAGGCTCAGTACCCCCAGGCTCAGCACCCCCAGGCTCAGCACCCCTAGGCTCAGCACCCCCAGACTCAGCACCCCCAGGCGCAGCACCCCCAGACTCCGCACCCCCAGGCTCAGCTCCCTCAGCAGCACCAGAGTCACCAGTGACCTCGACAGGCTCGACCGCGTCTACCTGGGACACACCTGAAGGGGCAGGACCCTGAGGGGGGAGGGGGTCTACCGAGGGGGGACTTGGTACCAAGAAGAGCGGGGGTGGGGGGAGGGATGGAGTGCGGTAGGGGAAGAGGCGGTAGTAGGGTACCGACTCGTCGAACGTGACGTCCTGGGAGGACAGAACACGTCGAGAGGTGGGGTGGTAGAACTGCCACCCAGGGGCGTCGGGGGGGAACCCCAGGAAGACGCAGGGAGCAGCGCGAGGGGACAGCTTGTCCGCAGACAAGTCGCGGACAAACGCCCGAGATCCCCAGACCCGGAACGCCGACGCATCGCCAACCTTCCCCGTCCACAGCAGGGCTGGGGAGGTCTCCGGCCTGGAGACCCTGGGGTGGAGGTTGATCTGATGCGCCGCGTACCTGACCGCAAACGGCCACAGAAAATGGGGGGCAGCCGCATGCATCATGGACGTACGGGCGACGTCCATGACCATGCCAATGCGGCGCTCAGCAATCCCATTTTGCTGCGGGGAGTCCGGAAGCGTGAAGGACTGGCGGATGCCTCGCGCCCGACAGTAGGCACGCAGAAGGCCAGAGGAGAACTCTCCGCCTCTGTCAGAGTGCAGACGCAACACAGGAAAGTCGGAGCCAAAGCTCTGCCTGAGCTGAAGACGAGCTGCGCGGATCCAGTCGATCAGCACCTCAGTAACCTCACCCTTGCTGCGCAAGGGGAAGACTGTGGTGTAACGCGAGCAGTCGTCAACAACGAGCAGGAAGTAGCGCTCCTGACCCTGTCCACGGACGCGGGCTGGGCCCCACACGTCCATGTGAAGCGTCTGCAACGGGGCCTCTGTCGGAGGAAACTGGGAGGAGTGAGGGGCAGCACGCTGGCGCCCCTCGACACAGGGGACACAGGCAGGGCCAGGGCCCTGAGGAAGGGGAGGTAGAGACCGGGGGAGACCAGACACAAGAAGACGGGAGGCCATGCCTCTGAGCCGAAGCAGAGATGGGTGGCCAAGGCGGTGGTGCCAGAGGAGGGTCTGGTGAGACAGACGACGACACGAACAGGGGGCAGACTCAGGACCAGACCTGGACGCTGCGGCAAACACCTGACCAGACGAAGGGACCCTACCAGACTCAGCACCTGGCGGAGAAGCAGTGGTCAGTGTGTACAGGCTCGACCCTGGCCGACGTGTAAACGTAGCCAGGTGGCGTCCCGTGCTAGCCTCCGTGCAGTGGGTCACCCGCTGACGAGCAGGAGTGAACTGGTGGACACCCGCATCCTGTAGGTCAGCACCACTCACCAGGTTCGTCGAGGACGAGGGGAGGTAGAGACCAGACAGGGTGCCAGAGGGGGCCGCCGGGCACGGAAGGACCGTGGAGAAGCGAGACAGGACAGGCCCCCCAGAGGGGTCAGCCAGGGACACCGCTACCGGCCGACTCAGCGGCGTGAGAGTGGTGCGGT